AAGTTCAAGTACCTCGGAACTATATTTACTAGTGATGGAAAGTTGGAGGAAGAGATCGACCGGCGAATAGAGTAGCCAGTGGCGTTCTGCGTGAACTAGCCCGCCGATCCATTGTGACTAAAGCAGAGCTTAGTCTGAAAACTAAGCTTTCGTTGTTCAAGTCGATCTTTATCCCCATGCTTACCTACGGTCATGAGCCGTAGATCTTAATGAAAAACAGCGATCCCGGATAAAAGTGGCTGAATTAGACTTTCTAAAACGAATCGCTGGGTTTAAACGTCTCCAGATGGTCCACAATACAGAAATCCAAGAGAACCCTGATGTGCAGCTACAGGTTTTTGAGATTTTGAAGTCCAATCCGATCCGCCATGGTTTTGGCACGTATTGTGAATTGCTGAGCGAAGTAACTGCTACCGTCCCATGCGTCTGACAAGACACCGCTGACAGCCAAGTTTAACCGTTGGTAAAAGATTTCAAGGACTCTGCTCTAGACGCCTCCTATCTTCTGCCTAAGTAGAAGCATATGATTTGTTAAAGAATATGAGGGTCGACAGATAGAGTTCTCGTTATTCATCTCGATGAATCAGTGCGTACAGAAATCGCCAAAAAATTCGTTACATACCGGAGAATACTTAGAATGCAGTGGCCATAAAAGGAGACTGCCGCGTCGGCATGGCAAAATTTGAGAGTACCTGCGATTCGGTGATGGTCGGCAGGCGAAAGGCAAACGTCATTGCGGTATCATCAGGATCTTAGTGGTTACCAACAACATCAGAACCTTATCGTACGACTCGCTCTTTGACATCCATATCACGGAAGCGAAGTAGACATGAAGGTAGATGTACTCAGCGTGTGCCGAACGTGCTGATACGCTGAACGTATTACATAATGTAACGTCGGTGATCAAATATTCCTGAAAAAAGCATTGAATGGAGTAATCAAGTATAAGGTGGTTATATGAAGTCGAAGTTCAGCCACAATTAGCAGTCGAACTAGACAACGTTGTCAGACCCGTCCTCCATTATAGCATGAACTAACTAGAATACTATGTTGTACGTATTATTTATAAGTCTCCAAACTACTACACGTTTCTCCACTTCTATCGTTGTGGCAATATAGTGTTAATTCTTTGTTCAAAAAAATTCGGCTAAATCAGTGGTTGTCCTTGTGAGTGAATTCGAACCATGACCCATCGGAGTTTAAACCCATCTTAAGGAGACTGATACAATATAAGGCAATTCTGCACTTCATGTAGCAAAGCATGAACAAAACTTCATAAACAGGGATATGCACTATGAGATTGGCTGAAGCTTCAGTGGTAGGGAAACTTTCATTTAAAAAGTTGGAAATAATACATTCGAAATACGATTTTTTACCTTTTCTCCACAGATGAAATCGTCAGGTTGCTCTTCAATAGCCGCTTTCCTTTCAATCGCTAAAATTCAGGCTTCTTCAGGGCTGCGCTGAGTCAACGGGGAGGCAAATGCCGATTACCGCAGCCCGTCTTCCTCCTTACCTTCACACTGACAGATGCACGATCTCGCAGTGAAGGCTGGCGAATGCTGAGATAACGAAAGCCAGGCGAAACGAACAGTGGATTAGGTCAGGGTATAACTATTTACTTCGATATCAAACCATGTACTGCTGTGTGCACCCGGGCTGCGGCGTTTTATGTTGTTTGCAACAGCGATTATGTCAAACGTGCGATATTGCGATTAATCTGAATAAAAACTGTCCGGAGGGAGAATGGTGCGTTAATTTGCACATGTAAAGGAACATGTATGCTAATTTGCATATTTTATGCCCTAAATTTATTGCTACATTTTGTATTTTGATCTTCAAGTTGAATGACCGGGCTGCATAGAATAGAATTTAATGGAAATTTAATATTAACCGTGTGATTGACCTATAGGAAATATTTCATGCAATGAAAATATTCCTCCATTATGAACACTAAAGTTTGATTTGCGTTTTCATGATTCATATCCTCAGTACAAAACAGCCCCCATTTTATAATTGGAGATGTCCGCTCATCTAAATATGTCGTACTGCAATTTTGCGAGTTGATTACCTCATTGGTGGATTGAAGTTCTCATCGATGGTAGACGTCGTTGTCTACCTATCCTTTCATCACGAGAGGATTACCGCCCTTACAACGAAACCTAATTTGCGCGAGACATAATGATTCGCTGCCGGTGTCACGCAGTTACTTATCTTGTGCTGATGAACTGTAAGTTTTAAACTCGAGGCAGGGCCAAAAATAGATTTCGACATTTCTCCTCAGAACAGCGTTTTTTAAAATGATTTAAATCGGCCGAACGACGTCGAGAAACTGCGGGCGCTTTGCACAACAACCCTAATAAATCGGCTTAGCGGAAGTGACAGGTCAGCTGATACGAAATCAACCTATGCACTGTAACTGTAATTTAAATACGGAGCTGCTTAAATCTGTCATTGGACGATAAGAAACATAAGAATGATGAGTAAAGGTCGCTTTCATCGGTGGACAGTGTGGCTGCAACTTAAAATATTTATATGGCAGAACGCTGTTAAAATTCTTTCGATGTCGCGGTCGTAGGTGACAAATTTAAAACTCTGCTGAAGTAACTAACAACCTGAACGATGATGACAACGTAAACCATGTGGGTCACAGTGAATCAGAGGGGTAGGTATTTGAAGCCACATAAACAACTACTTTTACTAGAACATGAAACAATGTCCAGACAATTTATGGGATAATGGAATTGGAAGACATGTTCTTATATGGTAGAGGAGATGTTCAACCGTCTGCTCGAAACTGTCACAATATCATGCTTTTGTCAATCCTGAATCATCGTGGAAGAAGTTAAGGGAGGCAATCACAAAGTTGCACAAAAAACACACTTCCGGATGCGGTATGTCATTTATGTTGGCATTTTCTGAATTTTTAGAATGAATTACTTGACAATGCAGACAACTACAATTGCTTTGATGTGTTGTTTTGAAGCTGAAATTGATTTATTACATATTTCTATGATAGCGAAGTCTTATTTCGCATTATATACAAGAGTACATCGTTTCCAGTTTGTACTGCATCGTATTCGAAACAAGGATATCTAGCACAAGAACTGCGAAAGCAAGTCGCAAGCCAAAACCAGAAGTCCGACGTCAAGAGGGTCCTCTCTGACACAATGGTTTGAAAAGTCAACAAGGAAACGAAACGGTAGGGGAACTGGACTAGTTTAAGTATCACAAATGCGTTAGAGTTCCTCCAGCCTATAAGTTCAACAATATTTACTACATGGGTTTTCAGTGGTCTTTGCCATATTTAGGCCGAGAAAAAAAACTTCTATCCATATAAACTTGCTTGTACTGTCCTCAGCCAGTCGGAAGACCTGTTCCAGAATCTAATTGAAAATGTCACAATTATGGAAAATAAAAAATAAAACTATTTGCCACACAATTCTTTTTCCGAATCAGTCACCCAACTTAACTTGTCGCCAGTCTTGATGAAGGTCATTAATTTGCCATAGTCTGGAATAAACAGAAGTATCAGTTTGCCTCTTTGCCTGCAGCTGTTCAGCTTCATGGAATATGAAAACGCTATTCGCAAACGGTTGCCGGAAGCATTACATTACCGAAAATTTGCCTCACGATAACTTTCAGAAGATGCGAAGGGACAGCAGCGACCGAAAGAAACCAAAAATTGTAGGAAAATTAAAAAACGGAGAGAGAAACGAAATGATAAGGCAAAGTAAGAGACAAAAGTATGTCAGAGAAGAAGTTAACTTATGGAAAAAGTTAATGAAAAGCAATTTAAGGAGGAGTTATGAAATCAAGCAAGAAATAACGTCGTACACGTAGCAAAATAATGTTTACGGATGTCAACTGACAAGCAGAATATAAACTAAACAAGACAAAGCATGCAGAACGGAAACCGACGAAGGTAGGGCATGGGGACAACTTGCGGTTCAGAACAGAGCAGTAGAACAGCGAATGACTGGGCAGCAACGGCACCAAGCTGCTAAAAAATGAAACAATGAGAGAACATTAAAAATGTAAAGAATGTAAGAGGACAAGAAATTAACTTACAAAAACAACTGAAAAAGGGGTACTCAACGAAGGTTTACGGAAAGGGCGAAAGAAAAAAATGACAGTGTATTCTAAGAATAACACAAGTTCCTACGTCACTTTACAGTTCAAACGCGATATGAATGATGCAGAACAAAAGTAAAAGCATTATATGGACAACAAACGAGTTACGGTGAAGAACAGAACATAGCAAGAAGATGGCGACCGCAACAAAGACAAAGAAAATAAGGGTAGCCAATTTTGAGATTTAACAAAACTAAAAGATTGAAAGGAATTGAAAACAGCGCAGTGTACATGCGACAATAAACTACTTGCCGCGAGTTAGGATGCCTTAGTAATTGGAAATGCCGACAGAGGAAGCCGTGGCAGCAGCATTCAAGCGGAGCGTTAATAGTGATTTGAAGCTTTTTGACTAGTTTACATGTAAATACTTTTGATTAGCTAAGGTGAGGGAAGTTACTTAGTGATTTTGCCAAAATAACCACTAACGTTAGCGTAATATCGTTAATTGTTTTAAACGAACAAATGTATTTCAATAAATGATTTTTGTGTACTTTACCTGCTAATCAGTTTTTAGGAATACCATTCGTGCTCTCAACGTTGCATAGCTGTCAGCTCGAAATTGAAAGGACAGGACGAAAATCATGGTACGTGCAATGCAGGATTCTATATCTTTTCTGAATTGGTCGTTCAGTAAATTTATCTGTATCGAATAAAGGCAATAATTTATTGTACTCCGTAATAGTAAAATAACAGATTGTTAACAAAAACGGAAAATATTTTGTAATAGGCTCCTACCGATACCATGCCGTAGACGACTTGAGGATTACTGGTCTTCTGATTCCATAGTTAGCAGCATGAGAAAACAAGATAAAGATTTGTACCGTCCGTCGCCTTTTGTGGAAGCATTCACAACACTGCCCAAACCATTGCAGCCATGTCTTCCCATTTTGAAAAGCAATGGAAGGCATGCCTGAGGAAATCTTTTATTTATGCAGTATTTTGTTTGGACAGTACCGATTTTTAACAATTAAAGGTACGTTAACAAAGCACCCTTCCCCGTCTTTATCTCGATGCCCATCAGAACATTCAGATTGTTACTTTGTAAAGGCAGCGTTTTTATTCTTAAGGGAAATCTTTACATACTAAATTTTGGCTTTGGTTTCGGAAATGTTTGCTGATACATGGACGTTATGGTTTATAGGTAAACGTTCCCAAAGTGCGTCGAACCTTCTGCACAGGTAAATGTCGTAGGCATACTGTTCACAAGGTGACTCAGTACAAGAAAGGAAAGGAGTCGTCGCTTGCTCAAGGTAAATCCTGATTTGCCTTTTTTTTTTAAGAATTGCCATTCTAACATGTTTTCCCTACAGTTAAAAGATTTACCTCTTATAACTGCTCCAAATCCAGTATTAACGATGTACTGCACCGCTCGCTTGCTCCTAACTGTTTGAGGGACCATTTAACTAGTCCACGGTTCCATGGTATTGGAGCACCTGCAGTGCCTTATGGATCTCGCTAGACCGACTCATCACGGACGACATTTTAGGACCAGTTGCTTCATGTACGCTACTGCATGAACATAAGTTGTTCGTATGCCAGAACATGTTAAATGACGCTTTACTTCCCCAAGACCAGATGTCGTGAGGTATTGCAACCCCGCCCGTTCCCCTTGCTCAAGTTTGTCTAGGTGAGTGCATTTAAGCAGGCCACTGTTTGATGGTATTTGAGCACTTTCAGTACTTGATGCATTTCGCATCGTTTTATTTATTATAATTTATAAATAATTTCATAAAATTTATATTGAAATCTTGATGCACTATAGTTTTTCGATTGCTATGCTTTATAGGTAGGAGACGATATGACCG